GTCACGTTTAGCCACACCCACAGACAGGAAGTAAATTGGCAGGAAGCAAAAAGTGCATCTTTGAAGGCTCATATCTCAGTGAATAAATTTTTTTAGACAATGGGAGTTGGAACACATCATTATTATGGTCAGGCAATCATATAAAGATCATAAAATAAATACCCTAAAAAATCACTGCACTTACACTTTAAGTATTTCATTTTCAGTGCAAACCACAAAGCATCACAAGTGTCCCTAATTATTTTGCAAACTGTTGATTGACCAAGTCTGAATGAGAATGATTGAGTTTGCTGTGAGTCCCCTATAGCAAGATACCTCAAACACACAGCAAGCATTTCTCCAGGAGATATACTTTGCCTAGAACGACATGTGTTCTTTCATAAGTAAGGCTGCACAAGTGACAATAGATGGTCAAATCGTTCTGGAGTCATTCGTAAAAATCTATAGATAAAAGGTACTGTAAAAGAGAAGGAAGATATTTTTGGCTATATGCATATAAATTTTATTTTGTAAAATTTTATTAGAAAATGAATCTAACTAATTAAGTGACGAGTGCCACTTTGAAATCGCTCCTCCCACCCTTAAGGGATGCAAATGTAAAGTATGATGCAATATGTACTGCTAGTGTAGCCAGCCAATTAAACTACACAAATGAGCCATTCTGGGTTTTTACTGACCTGAAATAAAATTCCCTATCAGTTACCCTCATTTCTGACAACAGAGTTTGATAAAATCCCAACTTTTTTCTTTCCAAAAACATCTTCCTCACCCAAAACTTGTGCTTAGCACGTTTTCTCTGCTTTTTTGCTGCTATAATAACAAGTAGTAGAGCTGAGAGTAGAGCACCCTTTTTCTGTTCACAATTTTGATATAACAATTAGTCAACTTTAATCTTATTAAAATTAATTTTTGTAAATTTATGTGGAAACACCTGTAATACAACATTCAGGCAACAATTGCACAACTTGTACAATTATATGGAAACCACGCTTTAATGTACTATTAAACAATTCTTCTTCAAAGTTTGGCATATTACTAACAATTGCTCTACGTAATTCATAATGCTGAGAAATGGACCCAGTAATGAGATATGAAAGGGCATACAATAAACAGTTCCCATTGCCAGGGACATTATGAGTACTATTAGGAACTCTCATCTGACAATGGTGTTGTTGGACTGCCAGGTAAAATTCTAGCAGCTGCTACAAACTTAAGGTTCAATATCTCACACTACCTTCTTTGAACTTCGTCATTAGCAGGGTAATAAACATAATCCCTTTGTTTCCTTCTCACAATATCTGGGTTGGGAGGCTTTTCGTAAAGATGACATCATCATCTTTTTTTGGATAACTTGTCTTTAATTTAATGCTTGAGAGTTTTATAGATACAATGAGACTACTACAACTATCATCATCATTGACATTAAATTTGATTTTTAGGTCTTTCAAATTAATTAAAACAATTAATTTATCATCTTTTTTGAGCGAGGCAATACCAAAGCACTATTATCAGTACTACTGTCTACATCTACTTTCTTTTTTGGGGGCAAGGCTTATTTAAAGCATTATTGTCACAAATTTTACTCTTTTTGGGGCAATTAGAATTTTGTAAATCAGTACTCTTACGTTTATTGCTACTAACGGTACTGTTACTAGTACTTTGTACATGACTTATAGACACCTTGGCATTCTTACTACAAGGTTCACCAGCATCAATCATACCAGTCACTTGAATCTTTCTCTTCTTTCCTTGATTTGAGGTAAGTCATTCTGAAATTTACTTCTGAGGCGGTTAATTTCGTTAATGCACCGATTACTAACTTTAACAGAGAGAGGATCAAATGATAATAAATGTAATCCATTTAATGTATGTACACGAGACAATGCAACATATGCCATACCATCCCCAAAAACATCAGTAGATAAATCAGTAATGGCTGCATCTAGTGAGAGGCCCTGACATTTATGTATAGTAATAGCATTAGAAAGTATGAGGGGAAACTGTTTCCTATGTATATACAAATTCTTAGATAGCATAAATCTAGATGTAACCCTTTCTATGTCACAGGTACATCAATATGATCAAATTTGATTGATATATGTGTAGCATAAATACCAATTACTATACCAATGGCACCATTAATTAATCCTATTGTCACATCAATATTACGTCTCAACATTACTCTACAGCCTACTGCTAAAGACAATACAGTTACTAAACCAGCTGTTTTGCTTGGTTGATCTTTTAGTTTCTCTAGTTTTTTTCTTGTTTTTTGTCAAATTTTGCTGTGCTGCCACTTTCATCAACAACATCAACACATGCTAATTCTATTTTCTCAATTTCTAGACTTTCTAACATTAATTCATTGATTTTTTGGCAGGCGTCTACCTTAGAAAATAGGCAAATGGATGATTTGTTCCTTTACTTTCCAATTCCTTATATTTTTCTTTTATTGAGACCTTAAATACGCGACTCTTAAGCTTATCAATAGTATCATCAGTCAGACAGCCATGCCTAACAGAATCAAACATCTTAAGGAAAGTTTCGTCTCCTTTTTGTCGCTTATTGATTGTTAGTTTATCATATTCTACTGTTTCTTTCCATATGTTAACTGCATTTGCTGCTCCAAGTCTATTTTTTAATAGTTTGTTGCTTATTTTTTTAAATACTGGCCTAACATTAACTTGTGGCAATTGTAAAAGGTCACCAACAAATAAAATATATTTTGGATCAAAACCATTCATCAGTTCCAAATACATCTTCTAATTGCATGTGTAAGTATGCTAGATTTAGATTGGATAGCATAGATACCTCGTCTACTATTATAATTTTTAAATTTTTAAGTGTCATTTTTATTTATTTCTGAGCTTCTTTACTCAAAGCCCAAAATCCAGCTGTCTTTCCCTCATGCTCTATTGGTAGCTGAAATAACCTATGTATTGTTAGTCCACCTACATTAAATGCGGCTATACCTGTTGGTGCTACTATAGCACACATGATTTCACCACTTTTTGGATGCCATATGTCATCGACTAGGCATTTTATTGCCTCTATCAAAAACGATTTACCAGTTCCACCTACACCACTAATAAACATTCTTAGTGGTTTGATATTATCTAATCTAAGTAGTCTTGAAGACTCATTCTCTAATAAATTTTCACATTCTTTTTGACTTATAAGATGACTGTAATTTTTATCAAAAATTCTTTTTTGATCTACATTAAGCATTGCCTCTCTTTGCTCTAATGTTAAATAAGGTACATTTATATGCATGTCAGCAATATCAGCTACTGCTTCCATTATTTCACCCAGTAATTGAGGCTCATCATCTTCCTTATTATCAGGAAGTTCTTCTTAAGTGAAACCAGCTTTATTTCTTGAATCGACTATTTTCTTCCAATTACATTCAGCTTCTAATAATTTCTGTAATTTGTTGAAATGATTTTCAATGCCATATATAGATGCTTCTCTGTGACGCCTAAAAGCTTCTTCCATTGTTCCTCCTTCTATTACAAGTGTGCTCTCATCTCTAAAAGGCACAAATGGAAATATTAGCGAGTAATAAAAATTATCTCTTTCCGCTTTTTACGTAGGATTAAATTTCCTATGGTTTAGAAGGACTGGCTTTGATTGAAGTTTGTATTCTCTTTCTCCATTTTCTCCTATTTTATTAAATTTGTAATTAGCAACAAATTCATAAAGAGATACATTTTCCATGTCATTTGGTCTTGTTGGATAAAAGTCTTCAATTATGCTAGGATTAAAGATGTCTTTCGAAGATCGATCCATTTTAATTAAATACGAATAGTTTTTGATTTTTCTGCTCCTCTTATGAGGCAAGTACACATTAACGTACTGTACAGTTACTGATTTCATGTATAATCTTTCACCAAGAAGATCACTAGCTTCATATAGTCCTACTTCTTTAGCTTGAAGTAATTTTTGGCCGATTTACCAAAGCCTGCTGTATATGTTGTCACAGCTGCTGACTTCATCCCATATGTCCTGTGCATGACTCTTTTCTGCTTTAGTGACATATTAAGTTACATACTCTGTTAAGGAAAGACTTCTCTCTGCTATGTATTGCAAGTCCATATTTGCACGCCACAATTTCAGCAGTAAAGGATTATAGTCGTTGACTCGAACTTCTTTTTCATTTCGTTTGAGATAATATATTTTATTGCATGATTTCAAGCTGTTTTCTACATCATTAATGCAAATACTATCTCTTGCTGGTCTAGGAAAATTAAATCGGCATCTAGATACATAGGTCTTGCCAACTTTTATATTTCGCTTGCAGTATTTGCTGCACTTGTGCATTTGGTATTTTGTTACCAAAAAATTTAAATCAGGCGACGTATTGCTATCTGGTATATGACAGGTAATCCTATCTTGTATGAAAGAACAGACTTCTTCTGGACGATCAATACCAACAACAGGAGCATTTTCAATCCATAGGAGGATGTGATAATGAGGCGCTCCACGCATTTGATATTCTATTTTAACATAATATTGCTCTACTTTGCCTGGAACACCTCTCTGGAG